GGGAGGATTCAGAAGGAACTGCTAATTATACTAGATTTATGGAAGTTATAAATGGCCATAACACTATTGTCAGGTCATTATAATAACAAGAGAGATTCAGATAAAAAGTTATCCTGTAGGGGCACATTCCAATTTAAATAACATTTCCTTTGGGACAAAATTTAATTGCCAATTACAACACATACACGACTCTCATCCTAATCTGAACATTTGTGCCTCAAAGGCTGAGCTTGCCCTGCCTCAGAGACATTCTGCCTTGCACCGGCTTTCTCAGATATCCCATCCTTCTCTGAGTGCACTATCCACACCTGACCTGAAGCACTGTAGCCACCTACAAGAAACAGGCTAATTGACACCATCACTCAGCAGTACTAATTGGCCTGTCCTCAGTACATACAAACTCAACTACATTACTTTCAGTCAGGAGAGTAATACATAACAGAGCACTACAGCACGTTTGAAAGCACTGCTGCCAAAAATGGTCTATTTACAGTCTAAACATGGCATGAGTGAGAAACTTACCTTTTTGGTCAAAGTTTATTTTCTTTCACTTTAATTTGTATATAAGTCAGCAGGACTGGATGAACATGATCCAAGAGTGCTAAAGGAACTGGCTGAAGTAATCGTGGAACTGGCAAATCTCTTCCAAAACTTTTGGTGCTCGGAGAGGTCCCCAAGGATTGGAAGAGGGCCAATGTTGTGCCCATCTTCAAGAAGGGGAGGGAGAACCCAGCTAACTATAGGCCCATTAGCCTAACTTCTATCCCAGGGAAAATCCTAGAAAATTTAATTAAGGAGTCTATATGCAATAGGTTTGCAGAAGGTAGGATTCTGAATGACAGACAGCATGGCTTCACTGCGGGCAGGTCTTGTCTTACCAACCTCATCCCCTTTTATGATCAGGTGACTCACCACCTGGATAAAAGAGAGGAGGTTGACAATTATATACCTTGATTTCCAAAAAGCTTTTGATCTGGTATCCCATGAGACAGTCAGGTGGGTAGGAAGCTGGCTGCGGGATAGGACCCAGAGAGTTCTAATGAATGGATCTGTGTCATCTTGGCAGGAAGTGGCCAATGGTGTCCCACAGGGGTCAGTACTTGGTCCAGTGCTATTCAACATCTTTATCAATGATTTGGATGTTGGGGTGAAGAGCCCCCTGGCCAAGTTCATGGACAGCGCCAAGTTATGGGGAAGCATGGCCACACTTGAAGATAGGCTACAGATACAGGCAGACCTAGACAGGTTTGCAAGCTGGGTGGACTAGAACCAGATGAAGTTCAACATCGAGAAATGTAAAGTGCTCCATCTGGGGATGAACAATCCCCTGCATATCTATGGGCTTGGCAACGCCAGCCTGACCAGCACTATGAATGAAAGGGACCTGGGGATAATAATAAACCACAGTATGAACATGAGCCAGCAGTGCAACGCTGTAGCCAGCAGGGTTAACAATACCCCGGCATGCATCAATCAATGCATCTCCAGCAAAACCAAAGAAGTGATTCTTCCACCCTTCTCTACATTGGTGAGATCACAGCTGCAGTATTGCGTCATGTTCTGGGTGCCACACTTCAACAAGGACGTGGTAATGCTTGAGAGAGTCCAGAGAAGGGCCACCCGTATGATCAGAGACTTGTATGGCAAGGCATACGAGGAAAGGCTGGGGGATCTGGGACTCTTCAGCTTGAAAAAGAAGAAGGCTGAGAGGGGCTTTGGTAGCAGTTTACCGCTACATCAGAGGCATACATCAAGGGCTTGGTGAACAACTGTTCACCAGGGCACCCTTGGGGAAAACTAGGAATAATGGTCACAGACTCCTGGAAGACTGTTTCAGGCTCAATGTTAGGAAAAACTACTTCACAACTAGGGCGTCCAGACTGTGGAATAAACTCCCTTCAGAGGTGATGCAATTACCTACCCTGGAAATCTTCTAGAGGAGACTGAATGGTCACCTTGCTAGGGTCATCTGACCTCAGTTGTCTTTCCTGCTTGGTGCAGGGGGCTGGACCCGATTATCTACTGAGGTCCCTTCTGGCCTTACAATCTCTGAACCTATTAATTCTATTGCCTCATGCCATATTATAATGGGTCATCAACACAACTAGAGTTATAATAGGAAACCAACTGATGTTTAAAGATTAATGCTTCCAAAATCTACCTACCATATTTACTAAAATCCAAAACGAGTTTTACTCCTCCCCCCCCCCCCTGCACCTCCCAGCGTCTTCATGGCAGGAAAAAAATCTTTGTCTTGGATTCAAGTAATAGCCCAGAGCAGGTGGTGACTTAGCTCTGACTTTAAAGCTAGAGCTGAGCTGCTCTCTGCCCTGGGCTGGAATAGCTTGTTTGGTGGGGGAGTGGGCATGCAGCCAGGGGCAGCATGGGAGTGATGGCAGGGTAAAGGAAACTGCCATCTCCCCTACACCCCTTGTCCTTTATATCTGTGCCTGTGCCTCCACCCCCTGCTGCAGCCTGCCACTCCACCCCTTTCTCCCCTCCCCTCAGCTTCCCCCACCTCCCCTTACCTTCTGCTCCATCTCCAGCCCTGACCCAGCCAGGCAGGGAGCTGCTGCTTCTTCCTGGCTGGTCTGAGCTGCTGCTGTTGCTGACTGCCCCAAAGGAGCAGAGCTTCAGTAGAAGGTGAGGGGCAGGGAGTGGGAGGTTAGTGGGGAGGCATGGGGGACAGAAGGCCTAGGTTAGGTACAGGCATGGGGAGCTGGGGAGGGCAGGAAGATGCATGGGAGGAGCAGGCAGCAGTGAGGGCAGGCACAGGGGGGACAGGCATAGGCATGGGGAGATGAGGGGCAGGGAGAGCAAGAGGCAGTGGTCTATTCCCCTGCTCTCACCACTGCATTCCCCAGCATAGCAGTGAATGGGGACAAATTTAAGACAACCTTCCATTCATTA